AGCAAAGTAGTTCTAGAAAATTGTCTCATTCTGAAATGCTAGATAAAATTGTTTGGTTAATTGTTTAATGGGTGAAGACAAGACAACGAACTGTTATCCCTGAATATGATATTCTTTGAACTTATTCTTCATCAGGTTTGGTCACAGATTTTTGGCTGCAAAGTATCTAATAGTTGTTTATACAGGATGTCCTGTGACTCGATACCCATAGCTCAAAGACATATTCCTTAAACAATTTCATATCGAAAGTGTCCTATACAATTTTGTCCAAAACTCTATCTAACGCAATATCGAATTGAACAGAGCGTTTTTTTCTCAATATTCTGGTTCGCACGAAAAGGGATATCCTGCTCATGAAGGAAATGCTACAGAGGCAGTTCCTTGAAACATGGCGGGACACACCAGGAACGAGACAATCAAAGCTCCATATAAAGGAACCTTCAAAAAGGCTCACGAGAGAGATCCTGTCACTTAATAAAAGAAATCTCAAGATGGTAGTTGGGCTCTTAACTGAGCACAACCACCTCAACAGGCACCTAGAACTCATAGGGATCAACGATGATCCCATCTGCAGATGGTGCTTGGAGGATGATGAAACATCAACACACATACTCACTGAATGCCCCGCGCTGCTGCATCAGAGGAAAGCTGCCTTTGAGAGGATTGTACTGCACCCAAAGGATGTGAAAGCGTCTCAGCTGAGGAAGCTGCTGAATTTCGTCAAAGAAATCGGCATGCCCAGCTAATTCACAGGACAAGTGGGCGCACAATGGGCCCGACTGAAGAGGCCTGAGTGCAGGGGTCTACGCACCCGCCCACCTGTGCAGAGAAGAAGAAGAAGAAGAAGAAGGGATATCCTGTAATGTTCAGAGAACAACGTGAGAACCAAGGGAAATAAGGTAGGAATTGGTATTCTTCTTAAATTTCTGGAGGTTATATGCGGAAATATATCGGGAAACACCACCCTTGGCAATGTGTTTCAGAGCCACGCTGTTCGTTGGATGAACGAGTCTTTGGAAAGAGATGTTCTGCAGGTCTCCAAAGTGACTACGAAGGGGTGCGAAGCCTCAACTCGACGGATTAATCTCGCAAGAACTGCCAAGGGAGGAACAATTGTTGATATTTCAGAAGAGCATCGTCCATGAAAATATCTATAAAATAGAATGAAGTGAAGAGAACGTTGAATAAAGTGATGTAATATTTTATCAACTAGGAATTTTTTCATTACTTATCCAAAATCAATTAAAGTTTGGTTCAAAATGTCCCTCCGCTGCTTCACAACACATAGTTTTGCTCTTCTAATTATCGAAGACGATGATCTCTCTGTTCTCTGAAGAGTATCTGGATCGTCTGCAGCTGCAGTCATGATATTTCAAATTAGCTCATTTCTGGTTTGTGGTTAATCTGGATACACTAGACATTTAATGTGTCCCCAAAGATAATAGTCGAGAGGCGTTAAGTCAGGTGACCTCAGTGCCAAACAACTGGACCACATTTTGCAATCTATCGGTGAACAAAGTTGTTATATTGCTCATAACTCCTGAACTATCGAGTTTAAGGCAAAAGTATGGGTCATATTCGACTTAAAATTATGCAAGGAATATGCAAAGGGCATCGAGTCAAGGAACACCCTGTATATTATGTAGGATGTAGGCACCTCTAACGTGTTCACGGTATTTTTGTATTTGACTATTCTTCTATAATACAGATGAATCGTATCAATAAATATCGATACTGATATCGATATCCAGTTTTGATATCCCACAAGTACAGAGTGCAGTAAATCGATTCTCATTCTCTTGCTATTCCAGATAATAAACAACTGAGTTGGAACAATTGGGGTCAATTTCAATTATTTATCAAGTAGACAGGTTTCCGTTTTGAAAGATTCAAGACCGAATCAATAATAATGCCAAAATACCTCCTCGACGGATGTTGAATTCAGAGCAATATCGTTATTAAAATTAGACTAAGCAATCATTCTTTGAGTCATCCTTCTGGACCTTTTGTGATCTAATTGACTGTAATAGATCTATACAGCAACTATAGTCTGCTCTTAGTAAGTAGGTACTTCTTATACAAGGCGAGTCAGAGTAAAAACCATACATTTTGTTTATTTCGAAGTGAAAAGTTCTTATAAATGTTTTAAAATTCATCCTGTCTGGAAAATACTGGGCAATAATGGGCGATTAACTACGAACAATACAAATAGTCGTAAAATGTGATTTCAGTCAGTTTTTATAGTAACGCCAATCATGTTGTTTATTTATAGATACTATCAATTGCTCGAAAGCAGTTGGATAATTGATATATAATTGAATAGGAGTAGATGAAACTAGTAACCGAAACAACCAAGTGAAACAAGGCAATTTACTGAACATGATACTCGGTGGAACAATTATTGTTTATCCGAGTATAATATTCGACGCTGCACCCGAGTTTTCTCCACGTTCAAATTTCATATTTGCTGGCTAGGATCGCATCCGGAAATATATGGGGGTTGAAGTGTCCCAAAAGGACCTGGTGTCGTCTCGTTGCACCGTAACAGCACGAATTTCTAGGATTCATCAAGGAATGAGAATGCTGTTTCCGAGAGAATATTGACACATGAGACAGAATCTCGGGATCGGGTTGTTGTGAGCTAAATTCACGCAATCTCTCCCAGACAAAACTTCATTCCTGCCGTCACGAGATGATACGATTGCACTACAGATTCAACACCAATGATGAAATCGTAAGAAAAAGAAAGAAAAATACTGATCTAAGTTAGAGGCAGAGCGTCAATATTTTCGAAAACATTTCGCCCCTTCAAAGACAATATCCGATGGACCAGTGCTAATGTTGTTCTCGCACTACAAGTATTCAAATTCACATGTTGAGTTTTACACTGGTCCATCGGATATTATCTTTCGAGAGGGGCGAAATATTCTCGGAAATATTGACGCTCTGCCACTATTTTAGATCAGTTTGAATCCTGGCACGTTTGGATATTCACCAAGGTGATATCCTTTTATTTGCTTTTTGTTTCACATCGATATCATATGACATAAGTATGTCCGAAATAACGGCAGCAATTAAATCGCTGTTCCTTGGATTTGACTCAGATTAAGGGGTGGCTACCATTCAGTTGGTATTGTTATGGCATAATAATTCTCATCTCGATAAGATTCCTCGAGACAAGCTGTCACATAAACTCGAACATTTTGGTATAATAGGATAACTTCACAAATGGATAGCCGCATTCCTCTCTGATTGGGTCTGTCACTCAAACTCCCACCAAGTTTTATCTGGAGTGCCTCAGGGTTAAGTTTTGGGACCAACATTGTTCTTGCCTATATGCATCGTATCTACATGAAGTTTTGAAATCTGACCATGCGTTCTTGCTGGCTATAGCAAGTTTTTTGGAAAGCCATCATCCAGTCATGAAGATCTTCAATCTGATCTGATGTCCGTGTAGAACTGGTGCAACACCTTTGAATATAGACAAGTGATCTGTTTTGCACGCTGGCAACAGTAACCCCGACTTCGATTATTACTTGGGCAACAAGACCAAACCATACCTGCAGTACAGAACCACAACGACCTAGGAGTAATCTTCATCAAAAAACTGTCGAACCAAGTTGCAGCTGTTGTTAGTAAGAATAACAGTCGAGCTTGCTTACTCTATAAGTGTTTCGATTATCCTGAACCAAGGATCTTCAATCAATTGTATAAATCATACATCCGTCCACACCTAGAGAATGCCGTCCAGGTTTAGTCTCCTTATCTAGTGCGAGACATTCAACATTTGGAAAGAGCTCATCGCAATGCTACTCGAATGGTGAGAGGCATTAGTGATATGTCCTACGACCAACGTTTATCACGCCTGAATCTACTTTACATCAGTTAGCGACGAATTAGAGGAGGCGCCATTATGACTTACATAATCCTGCACGATTCCTTATCTGTATAGAAATTTCTGGATTATTTCAACTTCAGAATGACGATTGATTGAGAGGTCATCCCATGAAGCTGAAACAAGAAAACTTTCGTACTACTGCTAGACAACAAGTCTTTCCAAATTGAATATTTTCGAAGTGGCCTACCTGGTGATATGGTCATATCAGTTTCAGTGCACTATACCTATCCATATGTATTGTGCAATATGTATATCATTTATATCCATTCATTCCATACAATATTCTGTACACTTCAATATCCAATCTAATTATCTGTTCTATATATTTTTGGGCACAATAGGCCTTGCCTCTGCCCTTGTTCAAATTTAATAATGATAATAATAATAATAATACTGAGCTAGAGCCCGCTCGGAGAAAAATCTGCATCAAAGCTGCAGAAGTGAGAAAGATCCTACAGCTTCACATGGATAAGCCCATGCTTTCGGTCTACTTCAAGACCATTGAAGACCGGGGCTTATCCAAAGAACTGAATTTCGCTTTTCCCAAGTCAGGCGGGCTTAAATCGGAAACAGAGGTGTTCATCATGGCATGCCAGGATGGGGTTTTTAACACTCGTCTACCGTAGCCGTGTCATGGGTATGGAGGTCCCTGACACAAATTGCAGAGCCTGTTCGTGATCGAGTTTTCAGCGCCAGCCGAACCGACAACGTTTTGAAGGAAGAGAAGAAACGGACTAAATATCGGGATCTTCTCTTTGAACTCCGCAGGCTCTATCCAGACCATTCTGTGGAATTGGTCATCCTGATAATCAGCTCCCTAGGAGGCACACGACATACGCTGCTCTCGGAAATCAAGAAAATCCCAGCGTGCCGCGATAAGGCATACATCCTGGCTGGTGGAATGCAGAAGGCCGTCATACTTGGATCAATGAGTTTACTCAGGGCACACGGTTCTTGGTCCAGTGATTATTCACCCGACAGGATGTGGGGAGTAGTCATGCACTGGATTTTTATCCAGCACGACTCTGCGTGGCGTCGGAGGCCGCAGAGTCGTGACTGGAATAATATGAATTAAAATAATAGCTGACGAAGTGTGGCTCACCTGTTCTGTATCCTGCATTGGAAAGATACGTGGCGAAGCTCCTAGTCTCGTGGGTGGCCTGCCACTGGGTGCTCGAGCAGTTGTCGTTGTTGGTGTAGACCTGGTGATTGTGGACGTACATCCCGGTGAGCAAGGAGGACCTCGAAGGGCAGCACATGGGCGTGGTGACGTAGGCGTGTCTGAACTCCGCCCCGTGGTCCCTGATGCTCCGCAGGGTTTTGGGCATGAAGGCGAGTGAGCCCAGCTCCACGTCCTGGTCGTCCGTCAAAATCAGGATGATGTTAGGCTTGGTGTGGGTTCTGGAAGAGGTTACCAGGGTTGGGGTCGTCGCAAATTATACATTCATGACGCAATTTACTACTGTCTTAAATGTAACTTACGAAGGGTACAGGAGAAGAAGGCGGTTAGTTATAAATGGGGAAGTTTCCTGTATTGAGGTTTTTATCTCACAGTGAAGTTTCTAAATAATTATTACTGTATAAGTATTTTTCCTTTTTTTTCGTAAGATCAAATTTCACTTCAGAAAAAAATAAATAACAGAGGAATTTGGCTCCGCCATCATTCCTATGGCGTACTTTCTGAAAATCCACATTCATACAGAGTTAGAATACAATTCCATGTGCCAGTACGACGTTGCCGATATCATCAATATGTCTAGATTTCCGGAAATTGTTCTTTGAATGCATAATAATCATAACTCAATCCTACTTTGTCAAGTATTATGAATAATTCCCATTAATCTCTCATTGGCTGAATGAAGTTGATTACTAATAAAGATAAATTATGATATTTTGCGATAGTATCTTCAATTTTTCACTATCGTTATATAACAATATGTTATTTATAACTTGTCAGTCATTTTTTTGCTAATGAATTCGTTCCTTAATAAAACCGATCTATTTTCTAGTAAAGTTGCAGATTATATCTTGCAACAGCGCCTAATACTTCGAGTCCGTCCACACCACTCAAAATACTGACAGGAACAACAAGAGGAAGGAGCCATGGGTGTCGGCTTCATTTTGTTCTGACCGATGGCAGTAAATTAGAAAGGATAGTGATTCATTGATTCAATGATATTTTCGTTTAGGATCGAGATATTTCAATGCATACATAACAGAACCATAATTTGTCAGAATGAAGCCAACTACCTTCTGTATTCCTGCTCCGAGTGCATTTGTGGTTATGTATGTTTTTGTTTACCAGTTCTACTTCTTTTTTTCGTTCGTTTTTCATTCGTTAGCTATTCGTTAGCTATTCGTTAGCTATTCGTTAGCTATTCGCTAGCTATATTCTTCACCATCAGCTATTTTCAGACTAGATTCAGAATGTACGTCACAGTTTGCCGCCCCGAAAATCAGATATTGTACAGCGTGGACATACTACTGGAGAGTTTCTAACTTATTTTATGAAAATTTATCTGAAAGAAACTTCCGCATTGTATAAAGTTTGCAGGAGAGCGTTTCCAAGTGTTGAGCTCGAATTTTGTGCTTAGTTATGCATTCTGCTGTGATTTTTTCAAGCATGATTCATGATTGTTTTGTCATGGATCCAAGTGAATAAGCTGTTGACATACGATTTTTTCAAATGAGGCGTTCTTCACATTTTTGTAGGAATAAAACAAGCAATAGGCGTTATGTCGTATAATATTTTCGATTGAATATAACTATTTTTCCAATTTTGAAAACTGTTAGAGCAAAGATGAATGAAATCATAAATGATTATCTGAGGAGTGTCGAAAGACTCATAAATATGATTATAATCTTTCAGTTATTATTTTTGTCACTGCACATTCCGCTTAATTGGCAGTGGTCGTGTATACATGATGCTATAATATTCATTAGCTGCAAAATATAATATAATAATAGAAAGAGATCGAAAATATTGACTTGCTTCCTGTGAGAAATTTATCAAGATCATATTGACATTCCCCCTTCTTGTGTTGTACCTTTAAAGACAATTATTGGACATACCGCGATATTGCCCAGTACTCAATATCTTTGAACGTTTATAACAGCTGACCTAATGCATTTTTGCCCAAAACGAATGGCTCAACAGAAAGAATGGGTCTTTGTCTACAAGATGGCGTGAAAAACTGATTTCGAGTTCCTAATGGCAAGCCGCCGTCTTTCCCTGTACCCTTCACATAACCTAAAATTTTATTGAAATTGAAGAAAATTGTTATAGGTACTTCATATTTTCGAATGCGTACCTACTAGAATGAAAATATAAATCATATTGAAGAGAAACTAAATGATTTCGACTCGGATTTTAATCAAAATTTCCAACCTCAAAATTACCAGATTCATGACAGAACTCATACAACAATTTGCACATTTCCGATTTTATACGTATGTCGCAAATGTAGTGAATGTCGTTAAAAAATACCTTTATTTATAGTCGTAATATGAACTCGAAAGAAGATTCAAGGAAATGTCTATTCCAAAGAAGGAAAAGAGGTGCCTTGATCTAATTTCTAGTATTATTTCAGTTCATGTTATGAATATGTAGATAATTATGGATAATATCATGGACATGAATTTCACGGGTTTGGATAGTGTTTGATCTGAAACGCTTTTCTGGATTTCATGAATGGAATGATGAAAATGAATGTAGTGATCATTCCGTTCTCAATAGAATAATTTTTGTATTGTAATTCTCTAACATCGTCACCGATAAACTCTTCGACCTCTTCTTTATTTTGCGGAACCTTGGATATTTTTTGTCTGTTAATCATCTGTGATCGAAACAATATTTTGTCAGACCCAATATATCAACCTTTGAAGATTATTACTGGATTATTATACTTTCGATGTCCACAGTGAAAATTTGAGTTTTTTTTGTCAAATTTGACATTTTTCATTTTGTGACAAACACGTGACATGAAACAACAAATCTGGTCACAGAACACTACATAAATAAAACGATAAACTTCATGACCTCGTAGATGATTGAGGTTATATTTATATATTCCGACTCCGAATAATTTCAATATCATAATACTAGAGATTTAAAAATCAAGAAAATGAATAAAATGAATCAACGCATATTTGAAGCAGTGAATGTGCTGCTTGGAGAAAGTTCTCTGGGATGAAGAGAATTCATTTTATCTGGGAATGAAGATATGGAACCTGTCTTACTTGGAAACAGTCATTCCATTCATTTTTTACAACTATCAACAGTCATTCCACGCCATTTCTTGTAGTGAGATGAAATGAAAAGTAGCAACCGGAATCGGTAAAGTTGCAAATAAAACTTCTTCTAAATGTGTTCTACTTTCAATATGTTTCGTTTTTCGTCAATCTAATTTCATTTTTGACAACTGTCAACAGTCATTCCACGTCATTTCTTGTAGTGAGACGGAATGAAAAGTAGCAACCGGAATCGGTAAAGTTGCAAATAAAACAACACATTGAAGTGATTCCGGTAGCGGAATCGGATAAATAAAACGCAACTACTGTTACCAAGGCTATATTCCGAATTCAACTGGTCAGTACTGTATAGGCCTGTTCGTTTGTATTGCTAAACTTGCTAAAGCTGATTATTTTCCCATAGTTGTCTTTGTTCATGGCATGGATGTAAACAGAGAAAGTCATAGAAAAAAAGCAAGTTCAGCAGGTAGAGCAAGCAAAAACGAACAGGCCTTTAGTAAATCCACTGACTCTGCTGAAAATCTGTGTTCCGAAATATAAAATCAAATATACAGTGCTGTTATTCGGAACACGTTTGCATGGTTTTTATCAGTAATCAGCAGCAGTTGATCAGCTGGTGAAATTGGAATATCATTCTCAGAGTCAATTATTTCAATAACAGGCATTTTCTGTTATCAAATATGATATTATTGATAAGACAAGACTTAATGTTCAAAGAAGAACGTGAATAAATGTGAAATTCCTTTCCCCTCTAAAATAATAACAGTCCACTGAAGCCACAGTACCTTTTGATAGTCAGCAATCCCAGCAGAATGTTTAGTCGTCGAAATATGTGGAATGAATAGTATGTCTACTCACAAGTATCTTCACTATCAGTGAATTCGGAATATAGCCCAAGTGTGAGTGCTTCTTTTAGTCATGGGGATCTATAAAACAAGTTTTACTAGAAGTGCTGGGGAGTCCTCAAGAAATTCCCAGATGAGAAAGACTTGAGGGGTTCTTGAGGAAACGACTATAAATACAGGGCCTAAATATCAATTTTGGTGACATTTACCCAACCCTGGAGGTTACGGATGAGAACGCCTGGGATTTTCGTTGCCTTCGTTGTAGTAGGCCGTCACAATTTACATTGACTGAGCAGAATACTAGGAACACGAGCAAACGACTGGCCATTGTGCTATAGAAACGCTGCCTCTTTTGTCTCCAAAGAGTCGAATCTTCTAGACTTTATTCTCCGGTGCCAGAGGCAGAGTTTATGTTTTGCCTGTAGTTTATTCTTCCAGATTTACGTCATCTTTGGGTGTGAATGTACTGGAGCATCGGTGCCAGGTTAAAGATGCGTTGATTTCGTTGTGGTTGGCATCTTGTCCAGTAACTGTTGAGGGTGCATGACCTGTAATAAAAACCAGTATGTTAGTCGTTAAAATACGATGATTGCTCTTTGTTTTCGCTGAATTGAGGTTGTCATTTCACGAAACGTAGTAATTGTCTGTGGTTGTGATATTCTTGTATCACCATTAGCGTAGAATCGAATTTTTAGAGTCAATCGTAACAATTTAACAAGTGGAAATAGTTTGTTTTCTTGTTGCAACATGGGTTTCACAGAATTACTTTGTGTTGACCTTATTGGAACTGCTCATGAAATTTGAAAGGTAAGCACCGACCTTATTTTAAAAACTGTGAACTCGTTACGAGAATGCAATATGACTCATTCAGGTGATTATAATTCGAAACTGACCTACTACCTGATCATTTATGACTATATTAACGATCATCGGAGAACTTGAAAATGTCCAATTATCGTTTTTGAAAATCACATTATGACTTATTTTTTTGTGTGAATGATATTCGTCAAAATTTGAAGAAACATTTATGTCCACAAAAATACTGTTGAAAATTGTTGAATTAGGAAAAATATGCGCTCACTTCTCCCTAGATCATCTAGATCATCTTTTCGAAGGAAGATCTTTGATTACCTTGTAATGTCCTCAGTGTAAATCAAGATTGCTTTTATGGTCCTGGATAGAAAAGTAATCTATAGTTCAGTTTAGTATAGTCCATTATTTACTATCTATCAATATCAACTCATGTGAGTTATTATGTGTAATTTTTTTTTAATTTATAATTTGTCCATGTAATTAAACCAATAGGTTTGTATGGATGAAAGACGAATAAATAAATGAATAAATAAATAAATGATACGTGCATGGAAGGTATTATAATAGTCCAATTCTGTTTTGTACAACACGTTCATTGTTTCATAAAAAGAAAATATATAACTGTAAATGAATCACCACTATGATTAACTGAAAGTTAGCAACATTAAATCGCTGTAAAATGAAATATGAAATCAGCTAACTCCATAACCAATAAGCCTCCATAAGTACCTTCGTTGGTATTGTTGATTGAGGAAACTATATAAACTAGGTACCTATTCTTATGGCTTGTCTAATAGATTAGTTGACACCCGGTATAAGTACTTCTGCATCGTAAAAATATATTCCAGAGAAGAAATCAAAAACAATTATTCAAGATCAACAGTTCTGAATAATAATCTCGGTTCAAGGTCCCCATTAGGAAAATCAATTCTCACTTTCCACATGTACGAAATAGATCGATCGATGTTAATGGATACAGTGCGTTCAACATCTTCGATAAGATTATGAAGTTTTCGGCTATACAGGGTGGCATTGAAATAAGTGCAAATATTTCACACACTGAGAAATCTCGACGTGTACTATCGAATGGCACCAATGAAAAAAAATTAGGGATCAAAATAAAATTTGAGGTTAGACCCCTTTTTCCATCCAAAGTTCTACACTGTAGCAAATCTGACGTCACCTCTGTTCAAATTTCCATGCGGTATATAGGCACAATCACGCGGAGTTCAATCATTCAAATTGTTTTAAAGTGGCGTATTTGATTTATTTTCTCGTATTTCGTTCAATTTTTGGGATGAAATTTCTAGAAGAATTAGAGATCATCTGATATCATGAGGATATTCCTGAGACTGTATCATATTAATGTGCTGAATGTGTGCACTTATTTCAAAAACACCATGTATATACATTCGACTAATGAATGCATTTTGATTGTTGGTGAATTCAGCATATTACATAAGGAACATGAGGACCAACATATACAGGACTGAATAGAAAGCTAGATAGAAAATAAAATCAAAAGACAAAAAAGTTGTCCCTCAGGATGCCACTACGATATTCGGGAAAAAAAATTAATTACAACCGAAGAAGTAACAGTGTGTTACAATTTGGTTCACTCATTGTAATTATGCAAGAAATTATCGATGTATCACCCAAATATTTTGAAGTACTTATAAAATTACTACTGATAATAAACCTACCAAATTTCAAGAAAATCGTGGAACGTGCGAACGATGCGAGGATTCTACGGTTACATTTTTCACAATATTAATGAAACACCCTGTATTCAGGATTCCTTTCCTCATTTCCTACATTTCATTAATTATGTAGTAAAGATAAAATAAAATGTCCCCTGCAACTTTCATAGGTTAAAAGTAGCGTTTGCAATCCCGAAATACCGATACCGGAAATCCCTGGGTCCTAGTGATATTTTTATACCGAGAATTTCGGGATCACATCCGATTAGAACCCGGGATTTTCGGGATTAGTTTTGATCAATAAGACTTCGCTCTCGTCAAGTGAATCAGATTATTATTATTCGAAGTTCCTGAAAAAAAGTTTTTATGGAGATACTCGTGAGTCAGGTAAAACGTTTCTCAATAGTTTCAGAGGCAATAATTGATGAACAAGATGAAGAGGAAGATAGAATTCCTCTTGCGAGTCAAGCGTCACCGAGTGTGTCACTGACTCAACCTCTACACTATAAGATATCATTCAGACCAAAACTGGTCTGGGATTGCCTTCAAAGCCTGCTAACCCTGGCTAACCACAACAAGGTAACTCTTCAATGGGTGCCAGGGCATAAGGGAATTGAAGGCAATGAAGCAGCTGACGCTCTTGCCAGGCAAGGGTCTGCGGCGTTGTTTATGGGACCGGAACCTGTGTTCGGTATCCCCAAAACCTCAATACGCGGCTGGCTGGCAAGGTGGATGCAAGAAAGACATCAGGCATACTGAAACAATGTCCCAGAACAAAGACACAGTAAACTGATGGTTGGAACACTGTCCAAAACAGTGACTAACGACATTCTGAGCCTAAACAGAAGTCAGATCAAACAAGTGACGGGACTAATATCCGGTCACTGCCCCTTGAGGAAACATATGCATCAAATGGGCATCTATACAGACGAACCCATATGCAGACTATGCGATGAGGAGGAGGAAACTGCCACCCATGTAATATTGGAGTGCGAAGCACTAGCGCGTTGGAGATACAACCTTCTGGGAGCAGTAAACTCTCAAGAGGCATTTTCAAAGAATGATTTGGTGAAGAGGCTGCTAAACCTCATCAAGGTAGCGAACCTGTTCACCTAAGTCAGCAGCATGATCAGGAATACAATAGGCCCAAAGGCTGCAGTGTTTTGGGCTTCGAACCCTGACTGATCATTCTGCTATTAATCAATCAATCAATCAATAAGATATCATCAAATTTAACAAAGGAAATTACCCTTTTCGAAAATGTTGACAACAAAGGTACATATCTTCTAACAACTATACCACCCACTAGTGTAGAATATGAAAGAGTATTTTCCGCAGCTGGTACCATTTGCACAAAAATCAGCACTCGACTCGCTGATAATACCTTCACAAGTGAATTTTTTTTCTTTACTTTCTGATGTATAGATTACAATTTTGATTCATATATGAGTATTCATTTAATCATTACGTATCTACTGTATACCCCATACTTTTTCCAAATTCTAATCCCGATACCGAAATCCCGGGATCCCGGGTTCGTATCAATTCGAACCCGGAATCCCAGGATTGTATTATTACTCCGGGATTGCAAACCCTAGTGGAAAGAATATTTGAAGATATACAAAAGTATAGTTCAAGAAATATAGACGAACTCGTTTCGTTTGTTCTTGTTCTATCATACCTACCAAAGTTCACGTACAATTTTTAATGTACCATGTATACTGAGTGAACGCGAGATCGCGCAACTATAACAGCGCCAGTGCTGTGGCCAGTGCATGCGAATGTAAATAGACTAGTAATATAGTAAAACAAAACACAAACACAACCAAGTTCACGAACAGTATTCACACGCTTTTCTAGGGTCTAGAATATAATGTTTGTCCGTCTACCTAAATTTATACTTTAATCTATCTTTAGACAAGTAATTATTTATTTTAAGACAGCGCCGTTCTTCTGTATATAAATTAAACTGCACGAGAAACGTGTATAGTTGATTTTTTCTGATAGGTAAAAGGAATTTTGGGAACCGCATGCAGTCAAAAGTATACTTTATACAATGATTATAATATAAACTCTGTGAAAATGTTTTCGAATATCGGAATTGGGCCTTTTTTAGTAAATCATTTTATTCGAATATTTTAGAGTACTAACTCAATCTAGGTCACTGTCACAAACCATTTTTTCCTCAGAGTTTTACTGTACATTGTAGATTTTTTCAATAATTATCCAAATCAACGATATTTCAGAACATGAAAAACGCGGAAAACCACAAAGATGACCGTGACGACATACACCGCGACAAATCCAATGCAACTGCACTTCCCCAATAAATTAGCGCACCACCGCAAGTAGCCGAAAGTTTGAGATACATTTTCGTCAAAACTACTAGTCCGATTTGGATGTTTTTTTTTTGTTTTGAAAGACAGGTTATCCTTCTGAACATTGGTGTGCAAACTTTATTGGCATAAAAACCTGTTTTTATACATACCGTGGAAAAAAGTAATTTATGAAAAGTGATATTTTATTACCGTAAACTTTTCCCGTCACAAAAAAAAATTATCAAATTTCTTCATGATGGTGGTCCAAACAACAAAAATATATTCATGTGATTGCGAACCATGTATCAATCACATCAATTAGCAATAATTAAAATTGAAATTGTATAATCTTAGTAACATCTACTGATGTTTATTATTCCACACACACTGGCGCCGAATTGATAAAACACGAGGTTGGCTTATCAAAACTTATTAGATTGATGTGGTAAGCACGCTGGATATTATATTATGTGAAAAAAATTTGAACAAAAATGTTCGTGTTCAAAACATGGAAAAACTGGATATATCTTGTCCTACCTGATAACAATGGAGACCTATACTTATTCTGATTTGAATTAAGTATCTCGAATTACTTAGGAGAAGTTCAACTAAAATCACCTAAGAAATTGTTGAGCTCTAAATAATACATTTCTCACAAAACTTCAATACCTACAAGTTAACATGAACTGCCCTTTTCATTTTTACGAATTCTATCGCTTATCAAATTTTCCCGAGAACAATCAGAAA